AAAAAAAAAAACAAAAACAAGAATCCTTCTTTTTCCTGTCTCCTTAGCCTAGCCAAAGAGGTGACCTTGGTGGGCTCTCATTTCCTGTCACCCCTTCTCCATGAGATACTCTATTACCTAGTTTTCCTGCAGTCTCTAACTTCATATCCAGATGTCCGTGGATCCTGCCTCATCTCCTCAGTGCCCATCCTAGGCCTGTCCTTACGGTTGCAATCCACCATTCATCAAGCATTCTCTTACTTGGTTTGTGCCTGTTTCAGTTCAGACTTGCAAGTTAACTTCCTTGCCTACCTGGCATCCTTATTTAGATGTTGCCTTGGCACTTCACAAAGAATCCAACCCCCTCGTCATTTCTGCCTCTAGAGCCCTGACCCAGACACCATCCTTTTCATGCATAGGATAGTAGCTATCTTTTACGTGCTGCTTCCATACTTGAACCCTCAGTTTGTTCTCTGCAGTTTTGGCCATGATATTCAATCTTTATCAGCTCTTGTCACATCAGTACTCAGTACTCTCCACTAGGACTAGGGATTTGGGTCCTTGATAGAGCATACCTCTAGGATTTATAAGGCAAAGCCAACAAAAGCTCTCCAGGAGCTGACCATTTCTGAATTGAAAAGCTAAAACTTTACATAATTTGCAGACTTTTCACAGCCTGTTCTTGCCTCTTCAAGCCCTCCTCCTTGCTCTGAGCTCAGCTTCCAGATTTCTCCATCCAGGAGAACAGGCCACCTTGCTCAGGTCCATATGGCACTCCTCCCACTTGGAGGATGTCTGCGGGGACACAGTAGAGTCCTAATGCTTCTCAGCTGAGGCTTCTTGCTTCAGCTCTTTCTCTCCCTCCCTTTCTCCTTCTTGCTCCTTGCTCTCTGACACACAGACTCCCATCTAGTCCTATGTATCCCTATGCTTTGCTGTTTTTCTCCTTACAACCACATTTCATTCATTCTTTTTTTAATAAGGATGGGGTCTCACTGTAGCCCAAGTTGGCCTTGAACTTGAGCTCTGCCTCCTGAGTGCTGGGATCAAACTCCTGCATCACCACAGGAGGCTCTTTTAGATCTTTGCCTAGTTACCCTTCCTTTGGACTAGGCAGTTCTCTGAGCACAGAGAAGACAAAAGCAGTGTTTGCTAATGCTCAGCAGAAATGTTAGATTCATTTAACTACAACAGGACTATGATACACATACCATTTATCCATTCATTCATTTTCTTTCTTGTTTTGTTGTGTGTGTTTTATTGACAGATCTCACTGTTTTCTGAGGCTGGTCTCAAACTTAATGATCCTCCTGCCTCAACCTCCCAGGCATGTGCCACTGTGCCCAAGATTTGTTTCCTTTTTTTTTTTTTTTAATTATTTATTTAGCTTTTCAAGATAGGGTTTCTCTGTGTAGCTCTGACTGTCCTAGAACTTACTCTGTAAGCCGTGCTGCCATTGACCTTAGAGATCCGCCTGTGTCTGCTAACCAAGTGCTGAGATTAAAAGTGTGTGCCACCACCGCCCAACCAGAGTTCTATTCATAATGGAAGTAGAGCTGGAGCCTTCAAGCATGTGGGTGCTCTATGATACCTTCTCTTATTGACATGTTTTTTTCCTCGTTTGACTGTTCAGAAATCTTTTTCCTTGAAGGGAAAGAGAAGTTAAAATCTAATATTGGGGGCTGGAGAGATGGCTCAGAGGTTATCACTGGCTGATCTTCCTGAGGTCCTGAGTTCAATTCCCAGCAACCACATGGTGTATACTCATGTATACACATGGATCTCAGGGTCCACACAAGTCTCTTATCAGTCACTCTGACTCTAGTGCTCACAGAGGCCCTAACAGACAACCCAGCCACATCCTCCCTGACTTCTAATAAACTATTTATTTTTATTTATTAAAGATTTCTGTCTCTTCCCCACCGCCGCCTCCCCTTTCCTTCCCCCTCCCCCAATCAAGTCCCCCTCCCTCGTCAGCCCAAAGAGCAATCAGGGTTCTCTGCCCTGTGGGAAGTCCAAGGACCACCCTCCTCCACCTCCCTGACTTCTATCCCAGTTTGGGCTCACAGATGGGTGTGACCTAGAGTCACTGAACTGGCAGCCATTGTATACAGTATACTCACAACCATCTGTAATGAGATCTGGTGCCCTCTTCTGGCCTGCAGGCATACAAGGAGACTGAACACTGTACATAATAAATAAATAAATCTTTAAAAATATCTAATATTGGATAAATTTTAGGCTTGTAATCAAACTCACATCTGTTGAGCACTGTCAGCATGCCAGACAAATTGGGACAGATGCACATCCCTTTTAAGTGACCATATCCTCACAGTGACCACACACAGGGAAGTCCCATGAGGATCTCCATTTTGTAGATAGGATGTTATTGGGGTGCGGGGATAGTAAGAAGAACTTACCTGAAGTTAGTGAGCTCAGAGTCCACACTGTAATCACTGCCTGCTCATGCCTCCCACATTTGTGGGTTGTTTCAAGGAAGTTGTTTTCCATTTTTCTGATTAAGGTTAGCCCCAAAATAAATACATTGGTATAATTTCCCTCTGGTGAACTCTTTGGGTTTTTTTTTTTTTTTTTTTTTTTTTTTTTCTTTTTTGTATACCTAAGTCTCAAGGTCAACTTTAGAGTCCCTTCCCCTGACCTTCTGTTTTCTACTCCTTAGTTGTTTGCTTGAAAACTGCTACCTCACCATGGGCAGTGGTGGTAGAGCTAGAGGCAGGCAAATCTCTGTGAGTTCAAGGCCAGCCTGGTCTACAAGAGCTAGTTCCAGGACAACTAGGACTTTAACAGAGAGAAAGCTCTTCTCAGGAAAAAAAAAAGAAAGAAAGAAAGAAAGAAAGAAAGAAAAGAAAAGAAAAGAAAAGAAAAGAAAAGAAAACACTGCTACCTTCATTTCCTCCAGAGCCCAGTTACACCCTTCCATCTTATACCCTTTCTTATCCTTTTGCCTTCTGGTAGGTGCTCAGTGAATACTCATTGGACAGAAGTGAATTGAACCCTCTGGGCGTTTACTAGTTTGTTAGTTTCTTTTCTTTTTAATGCCATTAATTTCATCTAATACTTAAAGAGGTACGCATGTGTTGTGTGTGACGAATGTGCCAGACAAGAACATCGAGTGTGGTCTATCACACTCCACTTTATTCTTTCGACACAAAGTCTCTTTTGGAACTAGACCTCACATTTTTCTGCCAGGTTGGCAACCAGTAATCCCCAGCAATTCTCCTGTCTCTGTCCCGCTCTGTACTAGGCTACAGATGCAAGTGGGAACACAACTGGCTTATTACTTTGGTGCTGGAATCTGAACTCAGGCTGACTTCATGCTTACATAGCAAGCACTCTTACCCTGACAGCCATCTTTCCAGCTCCAGTACCTCAAGGTGCCCCTAGACCAGTGGTTCTCAACCTTCCTAATGCTGTGAACCTTTAATACAGTTCCTCATGTTGTTGTGACCCCAACCATAAAATTATTTTCATTGCTATTTCATAACTTCAATTTTCTACTGTTGTAAATTGTAATGTAAATATGTTTTTCAGTTATCTTAGGTGACTGCTGTGAAAGGGCTGTTCAACACTCCCTGGGGTAACAACCCACAGCTTGAAAACTGCTGGCCTGAGGGCTCTTAAAAATGGTCCATATACTTTATCTCAAAACCTAATGAGTGGCTTTGCATATGGTATGTGAGTGTTTACATATCAAGAATGCAGTTAGGGAGAACCAGATTGAACTCTTTCCTAGAACTTCTGTGACTTCCTGCATAGAAACTTTGGTCACTTCAGAACACAGTGGCAGCAGAGAGGGAAGCATTGCCCTGATAACTGTGGGAGTTTCCCTCAGCACCTGCTGCTTTTTGGTGCAGTTGGGCCCACGGAGCATCCTCTGACTTGACTCTGTCTTTCAGGTGCTTTCTAACCTACCAGTCCTGCCAGAGCTTGATATACCGACGATGTTTGCTTCATGACAGCATTGCCCGGCACCCTACTCCAGAAGGTAGGTTCTGGCTTAGCCTTGGGTGGGATGGAGTCAGGTTCCACATCACATAAATGTCTGGCTCTTGGTTCACCACAGACTCATTCTTCTCTCTGCAGTTACTGTAAAGCCAGAACCAGTTAACAAATGGTCCCAGAACTCACAATGCATGTGTGTGCTGTATGTCAGCTGATGGTGGAATAGGGAGCTGTTGTTGATCTACTTCTGCAACAAGGTCTTCAGTCCAGTGGGAGGGCCTCACTCAAGGGAGTATGTAGGGGTTATATTTGGGTAGCCATTCTGCAGATGATGCTCTTACACAAACTGTTGTTGCTGCTGATACAGTATTGCTCTTTTAGAAGCCATCGAGGACTAGTTCCTGGTTGATCTGTGTGCTCTTTCACATATTTCTGTTTCTGAGAGTGCTAGCTAGAAAATAAGATCTCAGAGCTGGGCAGTGGTGGTGCACACCTTTAATCCCAGCATGGGGAAGCAGAGGCAGGTGGATCTCTGTCAGTTCGAGGCCAGCCTGGTCTACAAAGTGAGTTCCAGGACAGCCAGGGCTACACAGAGAAACCCGGTCTTTGGGGGAAAAAAGAAAGAAAGATAGGTGCAAACAAGAGATCAGGTGTCTAATAGTCACAGAATGCCAGTTAGTGTGAACTTCACTAACCCTACACTCCAACCAAATGGACCAGAAGACAGGCTTGGAGAGTCAAACATGCTTTGATGAACAGAAAATAAGAGTACCTAAAACTCAATTCGTACTTATTTTTGCTAATTCTCTCAAGGTTGCATGTTGGCAGCTTGGATTCTTTTTCTTTTTTTTTTTTAATTAATTAACTTATTATGTATATAGTGTTTTGGGCACCAGATCTCATAGATGGGTGTGAGTCATCATGTGGTTGCCGGGAACTCAGGGCCTCTGGAACAGCAGTCAGTTCTCTTAACCTCTGAGCCATCTCTCCAGCCCAGCAGCTTAGATTCCATATCTGCTTTTAGTTGAACAAAATTCTCCATCTGAGTCTGTACCTTGCTCCTAGTTTAAAACATTTGGAGAGTTCTTAAGCAGTTACTACAGTTGACTTGATGTTTCGGCAAGGTGGGAGTTTAAAACCAAGAGTCCTGACCCTTGACTCTGGGTTCTGAGTAGAACTGGAATAGAGCAGAGGTTTCACAGGCCAGCAGTGGTCTGTTGTCACTACTTGTCTACTTTTCTGCTCTGGTAGCATTTCTGAAAAGTTGGTATTACTGTTCCTTTACAAAAGCATACTATTCATAATTTACAAACTGGGCATAATAACTTGTAGCTATAATCCCAGCACCAGGAAGGCTAGGGCAGGAGGATCGAGTGAGTGGTCAAGGTTAGCCTGACTATGTAGTTAAGACCCTGTCTCAAAAACAAAAAATAACATGTGAATATAGTCCTTGGTTAACTTGAACACTTGTGGCTTGTTTGTTAAGGGATATATTTGGTTGGTTGGTTTTTTGAGACCTTGTCTCTCTATATGTACTCCTGGCTGTCCTGGAACTTGTTATGTAGACCAGACTGGACCTCAGATTCATAAACATCATCCTTTCTGCTCCTGTGTGCTGGGATTAAAGGCTTGCACCATCGTGCCTTGCACAGGTGGCTTCCCGTAGAGCTCCCTCATTGCCCGGGCCTTGATCTCATCCCAGGTCCAGTTTTGGGAGTCACACATTGATCCTTGAGCCTCCTAGCCATACAGTACAGTATATGCACATTCAATCCTGTCCCCTTTTCTGAGGCTCACCCTTGTCCTGCTGCCTTTCCTTTGCAGATCCTGACTGGATTAAGAGGTTGCTACAGAGCCCTTGCCCTTTCTGTGATTCTCCTGTCTTCTGAGTGTTCGTGAGGAGGATAGAGGAACATGAACGTGGGTGTAGAAAGTGCCCTGGAGCCTGAGGAGCAGGTGTGCTGGAGGACCTGGTGCGGGGCAGTGGAGAGACACTCTTCTGACTGGAAGCAGGGAGGGCTTCCTTGAGCTCATTTCAGCACAAACACTATCTTCAGGAACTGAAGTCATCTTTTAAATGACTACATGTAGAGAGTTTGAGTCATTTTGAGGTGAACATTAGCCACCCTCAGCTCCTCACCCAATGAGGACAACTTACTTTTCAAGTGTCTTGCCTAAAGCAGTTGAGCAGAAGCCTTCTGCTCCTTGAGACATAATGGGCTCTACCAGAGAATCTGAGGAACTCGCTGTGACTTAGATTTTGCTTTGGTCTGGAACTGCCTGTGGCTCCAAAGGACTCAAATTGTTGGTACGTGATACTCCCTGTGCCAGTACATCTTAAAGTGTCTAAAGCTGTGTGTGGCTGGTGTTTGCTCAGCAGACTCATTTGCCCATTGACTTGTTTCCATACACATGGAATACATTTTCCTAAAACTATATTTTTGAAGCCAAGAAATAAAATCAATCTTGATGTATCAAACGATCAGGTGACTATTAGAAGTTAATAATTGTCATTTATTTTTATCTCCTGTGTCATCAGATTTCCTGACCCAGCTCCTTAGTATGACAGAAGAGATTGAGTACCCCTTTCCTAATCACAGCCCCACATTATCCCCAACTGTGTAACCTAGATATTGGTATTTTCTTCTTTTAGTATTAAATTGCAGCTTCAGTATTTTTAACATTGACTGAGTCAGACGTCTTACTGAGTATCTGGGGAGAAAGGTGGCCTACGGATTTCTGGAGAGAGGTGACAACATGGAGTTGGAGGTCCTGGAGCTCTGCTGCAAGCACATGCAGCTTAAGTGGACAAACCTAGGAATTTCTCTCCTGCCAAAGGGCCTTAATATTTTAAATACAGGTATTTTTCTGTGGGCGTACAGAGGAGACACGCACACTTGTTTGACTGCTAGTTCTTCACCAGACCTGAATGCATTCTGGAACCATAGTCTTTGGTTTTTTAAAGTATGTTTCCTGGGATTGGTGCTAATGAACTGGATTTAGTACCCACATTCTGAAATTTTACATGTTTTTGGAAAGTAGGGTGGAAAGTATACAACATGAAATGCTTTGCTCCTTCATGATCCTTTCTTGCTTTGATTTTAACATACTTCCCGCTTTGATTTTATATCCGTAGTGAAAGACGTTCTGTCCTCACTTCAGAAATACTGTCTTGGTACTTGGGTACCACAGTGAGAGATGAGACCACATGCCATCCTGCCATACTTCCCGCCTCAAAAAAATAGCTCTACACTGGGGACAGACCTTAAGACCAGCATTTATCCAGACTAGAGGGGCAGCAAAGAAAGAGCCCTGACTGACCCAATTCAGACTATACATGGCTGCAGCACAGCCTACAACTGTCACTCTTCATGGAAACATGGCAGGAGTGGAGATATTGATAATTGTCTCCACTCTGTCAACCACGCATGCCGAGTTTTCTTTCTCTTGCTCTTTGGGATCAAACTCCCTAGGTGTTTTCACAGGGGAATTTGGTTATTAACCATTTAAAACTGGGAGTGATACCAGGGTCTTGTAGTTGCCTCTTCCAGCTTGAACTTGCCTGTGCTACGAGGTGGAGTTGTAGCTGTTTTAGCGTGGGAGGATGAGTAGCCATAGAATTGCTGCCCTGCATTTAAAAAGCTGAATTAACTGATTGTTTAAAGCAGTTGCTCGGTTTTGAGAAATTTTAACAATTAGGAGTAATGAAATTTCTAAGGTCTGTGCTTGTGTCCAGGAAAATGTCAACTGGAGCACAAGCTCAGTAAGGGACTTAGCCCAGCAGCATCCTTACCACAGCCAAGTATCTCCACAGCTAGTAGGGATGCTTCCCTCCCCTCCAGTGCCCTCCCAACTCCCACCACACACCGATGTTAATCTTCAGAGCAGGGTGAACAAGAGAATTTGGGATTGATGGCAGCCTCCTACATAAAGCACTTCTGAATTCTTCTCTAAGGGTTAGTATATAGGACCCTGGAGGGTTGATGGAGGGGCCTTGGGAGACTGGGAGTGACACCAGAGTCTGGTAGTTGCCTCTTCCAGCTTGAACTTGCCTTGCTCTGTGGTGTTGAGGGAGCTTTCAGTGGCAGCCATGGTAGCTGTTTGAGCGTGGGAGGAATACTAGCCATTGATTGCTGCCATGCATTTACAAGGCTGAAGCCGGCTCTACAGAGACCACACAAGCTGCAACACTGCTATGTATCAGGTCTTCTCTGCCTGGGCTTATTTGTTTCTGTCATTGTAAGTATGAAATGGGTAGCTTGTTCTAGTTGGTGTTCATGCTGAAGTCCTGATATGTTCACCCCTTGAAACTGTCTTTACCTACTACTAGATCTGCCAGAAGCTGTCGTGAGCACCTTCGAAGTCTGTGGTCAGATGTAGCACATTCCTGCTTGTCCCTCTAGGCTCTAGCAGGTTTTTAAGAACATCTATATAGAAGGCTAGACCTAGCAACAAGCTTAGCAAGTTAATTGGATTGGGAAAGTTTTGTTTCTGTTGGTTTGGTTTTGGTTTTGAGACAGGGTCTCACTATGCAATAGGCCTGGCTGTCCTGGAATTTCCTTTGTAGACTAGGCTGGCCTTGAACTCAAACATATGCCTGCCTTTGCCTCTTATATTAGGAAAGTTTAATCATTTGCTTGGCTATATTAGTATCAGATACGGTGCAGATGGTAAAACACAGCCCTGGTCTGGGAGCCCTGGATGCTTTTTAGGGCCAGAAAAATGTATAGTGATAAAATCTCTAAAGGCTAAGCCATGTTGTAATTCTTCCTGGAAGAAACAATGGGGAATCTCGTGATCAAAGAGCTGACTTTGGGCTCTTTGCTACCATAGTGTTGCTATCTATTCTGAGCTGAACGGAGTGCACTCCAAGTCACCCCCAACAGTCAATCAGAGACTGAAAGCTCTTTGACTTTAGACTTCAGGAGTCACAGGCAGGTTTTGGCAGCCACTCATGGTATGTCCTGGTAGAGGGCAGCCTTGCCTTCCCCTTGGGTTGTCTGGCTTTAGTTACTGTGGAGCATCAGTGCCCCACACACGCTTTACACTGTGCCTCACGCTCTCTCTTACTAGACCCTCAACTGCTCTCTCTTGAAGCTGACGAGTTCTTGAAGTTAAATCTGCTTTGTGTCTGCCAGTCAAAAATGGAACTACACTCAAGGTAGCCTTGCTTCTAGCTGCCTACAGACATAGCATCTCTGCCTGAGTAGCAGGCAGAAGGCACTGTTCATGGGTTTTATTCCTCAAAGTCATGTTTATGTTGAGGGAAGAGACGCTGATGCAGTCATGAGTTTAGTTAAAGCCAGATGTTCATCAGCAAGGCCTAACTATTCCTTCATGGTCATTGAGCTGAGTAGAGAAGGAGGAGGATACATCCCAATCACTCTGTAGGCTCTCAAGCAAATATGGGGTTCTGGGTTAAGCAGATCACACCTCTGGATCTCCTGTTTGTTTTTAAGGTTAAGAGTTCCTTATCTCAAGGCTGAGGGTGTGGCTCGGTAGGTGGCCTCAAGTTCCATCCTCAGCACTGGGGAAGAGGAAGGGCTGTTTACATCACTGTCATGAAGTTCTCTTGTTTTCATAAAGTTGATTGGGTGAGTCAGCATGATGGCACACATCTATGTTCTAAACGCTCAGGAAGCTGAGGCAGGAGGATCAAGTTGAAGATCAGCCAGAGCTGTATGAAAAGAACCTGCCTCAGAAAATGCAACACTGGCCAAATTGTGCAGCAGAAGAGGTGGTGGTGAGGGTGACATTTCCAGCCCAGGTCTACATTTGGCTGGCGGGATAGGTGAGTGCCCATGTTCTCACTGCCTCTCTGTATGGTACTAATATAAAACCAAGTGTCCGTGAACTGTTTCCCAAGCCTTCATTTCACATTTGTATTGATATGACATGCGTGTGAGCATCACACTTGTTCAAAAAGATGTCTGTTGTGCTTAATGGTTGTACCCTCTTTTTACCCGATGCTTGTGCTAAAGTTTGTGCTTGGCTTTGGATTGTATGTTTACACCTGACTGTTTTTAATAAAGAGAAAATTTTACGGTTATGCAAAGAGCATTTTTTAAAATTCTTACTATCTAAGCAATTGTAACTTTCAAGGTTTCAGCTAAAGACTAAGAATGATAACATGTTGTTTGGAATAACTGCCAACCCAGACAAGCCCGCTACTTGTTCCCCCAGTGTGTGTAGTGGTGCTATTAGCCTGTATGCTCCCCCAGGGCCCGGACTGTCTCAGCTACTGGAGCTAGAGAGCTGGTGAGTGGGGCTCCCCCTCCTTCATGGTCAGCTCCACAGGGCCACTAAGACAGGAGAAGGCAGGGTTCTTCCCTGGCTCTGAGGTTTACAAGACCATGCTACCTCTTATCCCTGTTTCTGATTTCATATCTAAGGTAAAGACCACAGTACCCAGGAAAAGTCTGACACTGGGAAGATAGAGAAAGGTGGAAATTTGGGGATGTTCATTGTGGGTATCCAGCCCCACTGTTAATCTGGGAGGCTCATGTGTGTATCCAGTCCTTCTGGCGACCCTGGTATGTCCTGCCAGGTAGCTGGCGGGCCACTTATGCCGCAATGAAAGCCCTCTTTGAGTGCTCTGCTTTGGGACCCTGAAAGCCCTAATGATGCTCGTATGTAAGGTCAACGTTGTCCTGTGGAGTGCTGCGTGTCTCAGCAGCGGTGCAGTCAGAAACAACCTCATACTGAGTTCTGTATGCAGAGCCACACTAGTCTCTCAGCCACTCTGTTACTTAAATGACAGGTATTTGTATATTGTGTGCCTATTTTCTGTAGTTCACATGGTTTACAGCAAAGCTGAGATACCTCTTAATCCAGTCACCTCTGTCAGGGGCTTGGTGTCCATTCAGCTCAGTGGTTGAGAGCACTAGGTGTTCTTCCAGAGAACCCGGGTTCGGTTCCCAGCACCCACATGGCAGCACACAACTGTCTGTAACTCCAGTTCCAGAGGATCTGACACCTTCATACCAACACACATAAAGTTAAATTTAAAAAAAAAAAAAAGTTGCTATCCTACGCTGCTTTCTGTTGCTGCAATAAACACCATGACCAAAGCAACCTGGAGAGGAAAGGGTGTGTTTTAGCTTTCAGGGACAGGTTGTAGTCCATCATCAAAGGAAGCAAGAGTTTAAAGCAGGGGCTGGAGAGATGGCTCAGAGGGTAAGAGCATTGCCTGTTCTTCCAAAGGTCCTGAGTTCAATTCCCAGCAACCATATGGTGGCTCATAACCATCTGTAATGAAGTCTGGTGCCCTCTTCCGGCCTGCAGGCGTACATGGAAGGAATGCTGTATACATAATAAATAAATATTTTTTTAAAAAAAGAGTTTAAAGCAGAAACCCACTGCTTACTGGCTTGTTCAGCTGTGTTTCCTTCAGCCCAGGCTCCCCAGCCCATGGTGGTCTGGACCCTCCTACAGCAATTAGCCATTAAGACCCTGCTCAACAGACAGCTATTAAACCAATCCGACGGAAGCAACTTTTTTCTTTTGTTTTTCTGAGACAAGGGTTTCTCTGTGAAGCCTTAGCTGTCTTGAAACTTGCTCTATAGGTCAGACTGGTCTCAAACTCAAAGATTCCCCTGCCTCTGCTTCCCAAGTGCTGGGGTTAAAGGCATGCGCTACCACCACCTGACAGAAGCAACTTTTCAATTGAGATGCCTTCTTCCCAGATGTGTCAAGTTGACAACCATGATTAGCCACCACAATAGCTTATTCCAGGAGAAACTTCAGGGATGTAAGGGAAGTGAATTCATTTGCCAATAGGTTAAAGCATCAATGTTTTTTTAAGAAGGTGTGGTGCTGAGAGGATTGAGCCACTCAGAGACTCACACATGCCTGGCCAGCAACCACCGAGCTGTAACATCCCATACCAGATCTCAGGTTGTTTTTTAATAAGTTACTATGTGTATATGATTGGAGAGAGAGATGTAGAACCCAAAAGACAACTTTGTGGAGTTGGTTCTCTTCTATCTTTTTGTGAGTTCTAGGTGTTGAACCTCACTCAGGTTGTCTGGGAGCCTGTGTGTGACAAGGGCTTTTATCCACTTAACCCGTCTTGCTGGCCTAGACCCCTGACTGTTAACAATGCCAGTTAAATAGTACTTGTCCAGGAAAAATGATACTGGGAACACGCTCTGGGTGAAGCACCAGGTAGCAGATGTGCCAGCTGGCCCCTTGTGCTGGGTTAGCCCCTTCATTAGCAGCAGACCTACCTGGAGGACTCCTGTGGGTTTAGGGGGAGCCTGACAGCCAGTACAGTTCTTTGATAGCCATCCATCTGCTTCTGTAGCCTCTGATTTTACAACTGCCCACCGATAAGCTCAGACCCCATGTCCATGTTCTCTGCTTGTGTGCCCGGCCTGGTCTGTGCAGCTGCTTGGAATGTCCATTGTTGCTGCTGGGAGTATCAGCCTCCACACAGCTGTCTCAGCCTCTCGCTGGTTCCCTCAGGGATACAGCAGGCTGTAGTCCACTGCACTGGAATCTCCTCAGCAGAACTCAATTAACCTTCAAAAGGGAGGAAGTGAGTCCTTCCACGGGCGCACAGTGATCTCCTTCCCTGGCTGGCTTTCTGCTTGGATTCCCTTCCACATTAACTGTCCACATCCTAACCACCTGCATCCAAGTGTGAGCCAAGCAGGGAGCAAAGGCTTAACCAAAGCTATTGACACCATCAATAGCCTCAGAAGAGGACTGGATTTCCTCACTAGGCAGTGGCAGGTCCCAAAAAAACCTGTGTACGTCCTGGAGCTGCAGGCACAACCAAGGCTTTCCAGACCCATCAGACCTGAGGGTCTGAGATCCAGCTGGGTGCTGTTGAAAACACCCAATCTCATGCTCTAGTAGACATGGCTCCCCTTTAAGGATGGAGAGCACCTGCCATCACAGGACATCTCTCTAGAGGCTCTCCTCTCCGTCCCCCAAGCCAGAAACTCAGTCCTTTTTAGTCTCAGGGACTGGAGTGTAGCTCATTGGTACTTGCTCAGGAAGCACAAGGCCTTGGGTTCAATCCCAAGCACTGCCAACAAGAACAACAAAATGTTTTCAGTCCCAGCTCCAGGAGGGGGGTCAGGGAACAGACTGGATAGTCACTAACCAGTGACAAGCCTTGAAAGGGGAGGAAGGAGAGCACAGGATGTGGCTAGTGCAGACTCAGATCCTAAGGCAGCCACAGTGACACAGACACCAGTGCTGCCTCATTGCAATGCTGAGAGAGGGGCCCAAATGCTCCTTTGCCAGAGAGGCAGATGACCAGTGGCTGTCTTTTCCAGAGACAACAGAGAACCTCGGCAAAAGCCAGGGCCAGGCGTGGGTCAGGGAGAGGCCAGTGGTGCTGTGCCCCAACCCAGGACAGACAGTAAGAGGTCAGTAACAATGAGGCAAGAATGAGATTCCCTCAAGACGATTCTGGGATAGCAGAGACCAGGTGGTGGCCCTCAAATGAGAAGGGTTCTCAGGAGGTTCAGTGCTGTAGGAGGCTGCTTGTTCGTTTCCCGGCTGCCCAGACTCCCGAAATAACCCCACAAAAACTGTATTAATTAAATTGCTGCTTGGCCAGTCACTATAGCATATTCCTAACAAGCTCTTACATATTAAATTAACCCATTTCTATTATTTTATATTGTACCATGAGGCTCGTGGCCTATGGCAAGGTTCCAGCTGGCGGCTTGTTTTTCCCCCTCTGCATGGCATCTCACTGACTCTGCCTTCTCCCAGCATTCAGTTTAGTTTTCCCTGCCTACCTCTGCTCTGCCCTGCTCTAGGCTCAAAGCAGTTCTTTATTAATCAATGGTAATCACAGCACACAGAGGGGCTCCCACATCAGCTAAGTGCTGTGGCATCTAGCCTGGCCCAATAGATCCTGGTGTCCTGAGGGGTGAGATGCATAGGTGGACCATGAGGGTATTTTTTTATTATTATTATTTTAAACATAATGGGGAGACCAAGGGCTTAAAAACACTTTATGCTCATTTCCCAGTCTGGAGCTGGCCAAGCAGGTTTGGCTGGCTGGGCCACTAAACCCCAGGGATCTGCCCTGGAACTCACTCGGTACACGAAGCTGGCCTTGAACTTGCAGAAATCCGCCTGCCTCCGTCTTTCAAGTTCTGGGATTAAAGGCGTGTGCTACCACCGCCCAGCTAAAAGAGGATTTATTAGACTGATTTACGTGAAATGGCCAGAGTAGTCCCAACAATAGCTGACTCACACTGGAAAGAACAAGGAGCAAATAGTTGCTCATTTCCCAAGGCTGACTGCCCCAGCCATCCCAACCCAACATTGAAGGCCTGGAGGATTCCCCATGAGCTGATGATCTTCATTCTATGTGAGCAGCCTGAAGAAGCTGGTTCTTGTTGAGACGCTGCCCACTGCTCCTCACAGCCTAGGGCTCCAGGTGGATGATCAGCACGGAAACCCTAGAAAGGTTCAGACCCAGGTCTGGCACACGTCTTAAGGTGTTGTAGGGACTTGATGTCCACTCCAGTCACCAGTTCTGGTTTTGTTGTACTTGTTTTTCGAGACAAGGTTTCTCTCTGTAGCCCTGGCTGTCCTGGAAGTCACTCTGTCCACCAGGCTGGCCTCGAACTCACAGAGATTTGCCCGCCTCTGCCTTCTGATTGCTGGGATTAAAGGCGTGCCCTCTCCCTCCCCCACATAACTGTTTGTTTTGGAGACCAGGGTCTCACTGTCTGAGACTGGGCTTGAATGCAGAATCCTTCAGCCTCCACCTCCCCAAGGCTGGGATTGCAGGCATGTATTACCATGCCCAGTGCTCTGGTCATGAGAAAAAGAGCAGCCTTCCTGAAATGGCTTACTGGCTAGAAGCATGTTCTCTAGCTGTGAGGAAAATCGGGATGTGTAGCTGCTAACTTAGCCACTGAAACAAACTGAAGATTCTCATGGCATGGGGAAGACCTTAAGAGTAGACAGATGGCACGGGGCTGGGGAGATGGCTTGGCACAGAGTACTTGTCACCCAAGTGTCAAGATCCCCATCACCTGTAAATGCCAGAAATGCCAGGTAGTCTTGCCCTCC